GGGGGGGGGGAGCAGGCAGGAGCTGCTGGCCCCTTCCCACATCCTCCCTGGCTGGGAGTGGGGGTCCTGGCACCTGGGGGGGGCCCTGGGGGGTATCGAAGCTGCTGCTTTGCTGTGAAGAGAGGGGTGCAGCAGGGTGGGCTCTGGCCCCCCCAGCATCCCCCCCCCCGGTGCAGGCAGGAGGAGATGAAGTCTCTTTCGGAGGTGCTGGGGCCCCCCCGGGTTTGGGGGCCGTTCGTTTTCCTTCCCTTCTATATGTAGCATTGCTCGGCTGCGGGGCTGGGCCCCCCCCCGGGCGGCTGGGGGGGACACGCGTGTGCCTGGGTGCCGTCGGCCCCGCTGCCGCAGCCGGGGAGTGGGGGGGCTTTGTTTTGGGGTGGGTTTTAATTTTGTTTTCGGAGGGAAAAGAAATGGCGCCTTCCCTCCATGGCTGAGACCAACTTCCGAGTCGCTGGACTCCTTCCCGCCCGCCTCTTGGTTGGTTGGATTTTTCTTTTTTAACTTAAAAAAGGAGAAGAGGAAAAAAAAAAATTAAAAAAATAATGAATAAACAAACCCAGTACTCGGTCATGGCTGTCCGCAAGCCGTGGGGCTAATATTTATAGACATTAATTACCCGACTGAGCCAATACTGACATAGTCTTGCATAGGCCGTAGAAATCCTTTTTCTTGTCCGACTTTGATTTTTTCGTCAGGAGATCTGTGCAAATAGAGAACCCATGTGATGTGTTTTTTGTCTGTAAAAGTCTTTTTTGTGTGTTTCGGGGAGGGGGGGTGGGGGGGAGAGCGAGGCTTTCGGTCTTTAATATTTTATTTTTTATTTTTGAAATAAATTTGGGCAGTCTGGATGCAACCGTGCCTGCCATTGCTGTCAGTGTTGGGGTGGGGGACAGCCAGGCACCCCGTCCTCCTGGGTGCAGCACCTTAAAGTCATTAACCTCTGTGCACATGCATGGCTGTGCATGTGTTCAGCACTACACCTATGTGTGCACACCCCCACGCATGGCCATGCGTGTACCCCCTGTACCTGTGCAAACACGTGGCCACACACATACGCAGCTCTGCACATCCATGCGTGCACACCTGCAGCTGTGTACATCCATGCAGATGTGCCCACAGCCACGCGGAGGTGCACGCGTGTGTGCCCAGCTATGCACGCGTGCTCATGTATGAGTCTGCACGCACCTGGCCTTGCAGGAGGGAGGAAAACCCAAAAGCGCAGCAGAGAGGTGATGGAAGGGGGAACGGGGCTGGGGTGCCCTGGGCACCCGGCTCGGCACCCGGCTGCAGAGACGTGCCGGGACTGCCGTTTCCAGCCGTTGCCGGACCCCGACCTGCGGGGCTGTGTGGTGCTCACCCGACCGGGTGAACCCGGTCCCATCCCACCGGCCGCACCGACGTGCTCTGCCGCTGCCCTGAGGAGCCGGGCCGGTTCCACCAGCCGTGCCGGCACCCTCCCTTTCCGCGCCAGCCTCGCCAGCTCTCCTGCGTCACGGCGGGGCGGCCGCGGGCCGGGGCGGAGGAGTTGGCGGCCACGAACCCGCTGCCGCCCCGACGCCCCGGTTCAATTCCTGGGGCCCGGCACAGCCGTGCCTCAGTTTCCCCACCTGCAGCTGTAGGTTTGTTTTCCCCGCGGCTTTCCCCCGCCCCAAGGAAGGTGACGGGGTGGGGATGGCCCTGGGGACACACGTCACCATCCCACCCGCGGGGGCCCGCTTCCCCTGGCACTGTCGGCTCCTGAGGGGGAGAGGCCCCTGGGGTTCCAGGGAGGAAGGCCGTGGGGGCTGGCGGGGCTTGGGGTATCGGTGCCCACGTGGTGCCACGGCTGGGGGACGTGGTGGGCTGGAGCACCCCCCGCGCTGTGCTCCTGTGCCCGACACGGGGATGTGGTAGCCACGGTGGGCACTGGCACCCCCAGCACCCTGGCACAGCCGGGGCGGTGGGTGAAGCCCGGGAGCAGGGGCTGAGCTGTGGGGCTGTTACTTGGGGAGGGGGCAGGAGTCCTGCGTCCCCTCTGCCGTGACCCTGTCCAGCCCTGTCCCCGCACCCCAGGGACTTGCCGAGGAGGGGAGATGATCCAGAGCCCCCTGGGGGACCCAGCACCCCATGGACAGGACAGGATTACCCAGCTGTGGCTGGTGGCTCTTCCCATGGAGGAACACCCCGGGGGACCCAGCCATGGGGCTGGGGGGGGCATCGCTGGACCCCAAGCCCCCCCTGGGGCAGCTGAGCGCCGGAGGAAGCCGAGGCCGGGAGAGGAAGTGGCTCAGGTTCCTGCGGTGACATGTGCCGCACCGGGCGTCCCGCTGCCAGTGCCCTGCTTTGACGTCATTTCGGGTAGAGCGAGCCCCGGGCCGCCCCCCCCCCGACACCCCCGGCCCGCACCGCTCGAGCCAAATTTGGCAACGGGAAGAGGAGCCGCTCACCGCGCCGGGAGCAAACGGCAGAGGCCTTTTAAGGCAATCGCTGCCTGGCCTGGCACGCGTGGGACACACACGCACACGTGTGCCCGCTCACACCCGCCTGTTTGCACGTGGGCATGCTCATGCCCGGCTGCTCGCGTGCACACGCGTGTGTGCAGAGGGACGCACGCGGGTAGCTGTGCGTGGGGACACACTCGGGAACAGCTATACTGTGGGAGGGTCCCGGGAGACCCTGACACCCCCCCCCCAGCCTGGGAGTCCTGACGTCTGCTCCCATCCCGTGGCCTCAGCTCAGGGTTTGGGGGGCCCCGGGGAAACTGGGGGGGCAGTGGGGATGGTGGGTGCTGCAGGGTTGGTGGCCTGGGTGCAAGCTGTGCATGGAACAGGCCTGGCCCCAAAGCATGGCACGGCGTTGCACGGCACAGCATGGCCTGGCATAGCACGGCATTGCACGGCACAGCACAGCATGGCACAGCATCGGACGGGACAGTACGGCACGGCGTGGCGTGGCACAGGCTGGCTCGGCACAGCGCACCGCGGTGCGGGCACCCGCAGGAGGTGTCTGCGGCGTGGCGGGAGGCAAGCTGCGACACGGGGTGCCGCATCGTGCCGCGCCACCGGGGTGACATCACCGCGCCCGGGGCCGGCAGATGCTGGTGATAAAGGGGGGGGGTCGCCAGCGGCAGGGCGAGGCCGGGCAGAGCCGCACTCGCTGCCCAGCCCAGGCATCCGGGCGCTTCATCCGCACCCCGACCTGCCTCCTCCTCCTCCTCATTGCCCCCAGCCCGGCCAGCGCCCCGGCCCCCCCCCGTGCCCCGGCGCTGCCGCGGGCCCAGGCCCACGCCGGCGAGGCTGCGCTCATCCCAGTCCTCCCAGTATGGAGCAATCCGCCAGCGCTGGCGTCGCGCCTTTGGTGTGGTGCCCGCTGGGGGGGGCAGCATGGGTGTCACCCTGCGGGCGGGCGTCCGTGCAGGCGGGTGCGCGCTTCTGCAGGGCGGGGGCTGTGCCCGGGCGGGCGTTCGTGGAGGGGTGTGCATGGAGCCGCATGCACGGGGGGTCCTGGGGTTGGGGGTGCATGGTGGGTTGTGGTTGTGCACGCAGAGACGTGCACGCACGTGAGCGAGCACACGCTCCCGGCACCCCCCCACCGTGTTTCAGCCCCTGGGGGAAGTGACCGTGCCCCGGCCTCGGACGTGCACGGCTGCAGCTCCTGGCAGGGGACGGGGTGCTCCCCCCCCCGGTGCCCCCGGGTCGGCCCCAGGGTGCATCCCATGGCCCGTCGAGCACGGCAAACACCCGGCAAACACCCCGGCGGGGCCTCGGCCACGGGCCATCGACAAATATTTGCCTTCAGCGGTGCAGACCTGCTGTGACGGGCTGACCTGAGCTGCGGTGGCTGCGGGTGCTGGCAGGATAGGGCTGGGGACCCCCAGGGCCCCCCTCCCCCCCCATACATGGCTCGCGGGTGCGGGCGGGTTGGCGCGGGTGCCCCCCCCGCCCCCCCATCCCTCCAGCCCAGCCCCCGCAGCGGAGGGTGCGCCAGGAAACACCCACGGCGGGCGAGCGCCTGGCGGCTCCCACGGCCCTCCCGGCACACCCGTGAGCCCCAGCGCACACCCACAGCGCCGGCCACAGCCGCGGCCCCGGCTGCTGCTGCACGGGGCACACGCCCGGCCCAGGCACGCACGGGGGCTGCACATCAGCTCCTTGCACACCCGCCCACCGCACCCCTGCAAGTGCAGCCTGGCCTCGCCGCAGCTCGTGCACGCGTGCATGCAACCCCCTGCCCGCAAACACGTGCACACGCGCCCATGCGCACGCATGCACCCCACCGCCGAGCGCGGCGGCGTGTGCCCGGCTGCTCGGCGTGCCCAGCCCCGTGCCCCCACGCCACCAGGACCCCCGCGGTCGCCTCCTGCTCGCCATGCGTCTTCCCCGCTGACGTGTGGGGTTGATCACTGCTTGGGATGGAGCCCCAGCTCCGCAGAACCCCGGTGCCACCCGCCCCTCGCCAGGGCACCCGGCGGCTGCGCCCGACGCTGGCTGCTGGCGAGAGACGGCGCTGGCGCGGCTATGCCAGACGCCGGGTGGGCGATGAGCTGCCAGCGTGTCCCTGGCAGGAGTTGGGAACACGGCGTCTGCCGGCAGCGGGGTCCCGTCGCGGGGGTGAGCCCCGGCCCCCGCGCAGGGGCTGCAAACGGCCTCCCCGCCACCCGGCTTTGGGGGCATCCGCCAGGGCTGGGGCACCCATGGGTGCACCCTAGGCATCACCACAGGGTGCAGAGGCCCCCCCCAAGGGTTGAGCCCCCACCCATGCCGGGCCTCGGTGCTGCCGTGGGGCTGGGCTGCAGGCAGGCGCAAAGGCGGTGAGGGGGGGACGACCGGGGCGGG